AGACATTGGTCAGAAGGTACAAGTTGCTGTTACACAGGAGGAATAAGTTTTGAGATCTATTACATGCATGGTGACAATAGATGATAATAATATATTTCTCAAAATTGCTAAAAGAGCAAATTTCAAAAGTTCTCACTACAAAAATGATGAGTATATGAGATGATGGGTATGTTTATTAAATTGACTTAATCATTCCACATTGTATACATATATCATAACATCACGTTGCACCCTATAAATATATATAAGTAAAATTTGTCAATTAAAAATAAAAACAAATATTCCAAAACTCATATTTTGAGAAAAAGAAAAGAAAATCTCCTAAAGATATATTGTTAATGTGAAGATATGTGTCTACTTTATTTCTTTTTATTTTGATAGCATTTGGGGTATAAGTGGTTTGGTTACATGGATGATTTCTATAGTGGTGAATTCTGAGGTTTTAGTGCACCCATCACCCAAGTGTATACTGTCCCCAGTATGTAGTTTTTTCTCCCTTAACCACCTCCCAATCTTGATCTCCGAGTCTCCATAGCTCATTATATCACTCTGTATGTATTTGTGTCCTCATAGCTTAACTCCCACATATAGGTGAAAATATATGGTATTTTGTTTTCTATTCTTGACTTACTTCACTTAGAGTAATGGCCTCCAGCTCCTTCCAAATTGCAGCAAAAGACATTACTTCATTCCTTTTTATGGCTGAGTAGTATTCCATGGTGTATATCTGCCACATTTTCTTTATCCACTGATTGGTCAATGGGCACTTAGGTTGGTTCTGTATCTTTACAGTTGTGAATTGTGCTACTGTAAGCATGTGTGTGCTTTTGTCTTTTTCATGTAATGACTTTTCCTTTGGGTGGATACCTAGTAATGAGACTGCTGGATGGAATGATAGCTTTACTTTCAGTTCCCTGAAGAATATCCTTACTGTTTTCCACAGAGGTTGTGTTAATTTCATAGCAGTGTATCAGCATTTCACTACATTTCACTTTTCACTACATCCACAACATGCATCTATTGTTTTTGAACTTTTTAATTATGGCCATTCTTGTAGAAATAAGGTAGTATCTCATTATGGTTTTAATTTACATATCCCTGATGATTAGCGATGTTGTGCATTTTTTCATATGTTTCTTGGCTGTTTGTGTATCTTCTTTTGAGAATTATCTAGTGTCCTTTGCCCACTTTTTGATGGAATTGTGTTTTTTTTTCTTGCTGATTTGTTTGAGTTCCTTGTAGATTCTGGATACTAGCCTCTTGTCAGATGGATAGTTTGCAAATATTTTCCCCCACTTTATAGGTTGTCTGTTAACTCTGCTGTTATTGTTGTTGTTATTATTATTATTATTTTGTTGTACAGAAGCTTTTTAGTTTAATTAAGTTCCACTGATTTATTTTGGTTTTGTTGTATTTGCTTTTGTGGTCTTGATCATGAATTCTTTTCCTAGGCCAATGTCCAGAAGAGTTTTTCCAAGGTTATCTTATAGAATTGTTATGCTTTCAGGTCTTAGATTTAAGCCTTTGATTTTTCTACAAGGTGAGAGATGAGGATCCAGTTTCATTCTTCTACATATGGCTATCCAGCTTTCCCAGCATCATTTATGGAATAGGGTGTCCTTTCCCCAATTTATGTTTTTGCATGCTTTGTCAAAGATCAGTTGGCTGTAAGTATTTGACTTTATTTCTGGGTCCACCTTTCTGTTCCATTGGTCTAAACGCCTATTATTATACCAGTACCATGCTGTTTTGGTAACTATAGCCTTGTAATGTAATTTGAAGTCCAGTAATGTGATGCCTTCAAATTTTTTCTTTTTGCCTGGTATTGCTTTGACTACACGGGCTCTTTTTTGGTTCCATATGAATTTTAGAATTGCTTTTCCCAGTTATGTGAAAAATGATGAAGGTATTTTAATAGGCAGTGCATTAAATCTGTAGATTGCTTTGCACAGTATGATCATTTTCACAATATTGTTTCTTCCAATCCATGAACGTGAATATGTTTTCATTGGTTTGTGTCATCTATGGTTTTGTCCAGCACTGCTTTGTAGTTCTCCTTGTAGAGAGCTTTAACCTCCTTGATTAAGTATATTCCTAGGTTTTGTTTTTTGTTTTTTGGTTTTTTTTGCAACTTTTTGTTTGTTTGTTTGTTTTGCTCTGTGAGAGTCAGAAGGCAGTTCTCAGGTCACTGGGGTAATGTTCCAGAGGTGAGTATAACTTCCTCTGCCTCACAGAAGAGTTTGCCAAAGGAGTGGAGAGTAGCAGGTGGCAGTAAGCCTCATCCAGCTCCCATGCAGTTGGCACAAGGTGGGTGTCACTCATAGCAGTGTTCCACTCATAGCGCTGGATTTAGATCCAGGCAGTCTGTGAACAGAACTAAGACCTGCCACAGGCCATAAACTTTTCCCACAGAAATAGCAATGCTTTCAGGCAATGCCATTTTTTGTCCCTGTCCAAGGCCAGGCACCCAGCTCCTGAACTCCTGTCTACAGCACACTTCCTGCTTGCCTTCCAGGTTCTGTTCAAGGGAGTTCATTCCCACTCGAGGTTTTATCAAGAAATTCAGTTGGGCATTTCGTTCAACCTGTGACCCCTACCTGAGCTAGTTGTCTGACTTCCCCAAGGCCTCCTGTGAGATACAATAAGGAATGACTTCCCGCAGTCCATGCTGGAGATTGGGAATGCCTGAAAGGCACTTCCTACTGCTGCTTCTACTTTTATATTTCTCACCACTCCTTAAATCAGTTCAAGCCCTGGGTAGAGTTAAGGCCTTCTCCTGTGGTCTGGATTTTCAGATTCCTCAGTGAAGATGTGTATCCTCGAGGCAGTCTCTCCCCCTCTCACCCTCTGTGGATTTACAGTTTTTCACCTGTCTTACAGAGTAGGATGCAAACTGCAGCTTCTATTGAAGGGTCTGTGGATTCTTTTGGTTTTCCTGTTAAGTCCCCGTGTTGTTTCTTGGGAAAAGAAAGTTCACAGTGTAAATCTCTATACACTATTCTGTCCTTCCACATGGGAGAGGCACACTGACATTGCCTCCAATCCACCATCTTGGGAAAAAATACTGTGTCTATTTTACACACTCTTATTTGTATAGAAAAAGTGTGTGTTCTTGTAAAGTGGGCATCAGGATAGCCATTTTCTGGAGGGACACACACAAAACCATTGATGGCAGAATCTAGGAAGGTGAGACTTAAGAAGGAAGCTCATTTTTATAAATTTTTAGACACTTTTTTTTTTTTTTTTTTTTACAAAGTGCACAATATCATCACTTGATATTTTGGTTTTTAAAAGCAGGGAAAGTTTTACCACCATTTAAGACTGCTGTGCTGAGCAAAGGCTTGGACGGGAGGACACTGCCTCCAAAACACCTGTCCAATCCATAGCCTCCTCTCCATCCCCAGGCCCTGGCCTGGCTCAGGTCCCAGAATGTCTTCACTGGGACTTCATTCTACAGCTTGTCCTCTATCCACAGTAGCCCTGAAAACATTTTTTTGGTGCCCAGATATGACCTGTCCCTCCCCTGCTCAACCACTTGTTACGGCTCCCCATTGCCTTTGGGTTAAAATGGAAGCCATTACCATTTTCCCATGCCTTCCACAGCCGGACTCTGCCTTCACCGCCATGGTTATTATCTCATTATAACTCAGTTCCTTCCTCTCTCATTCTCTTTCTGTCTTCTTCTCTCTTCCCTCCTCTCTTTATCTTACTCTTTCCCTCCCTCTTACTTCTTTCTTCCTTTATGACCATCTCCCTCCCCCAATGCACAAACCTCTCTTTCCCTCTTCTCCTACTCTCCCACTCCTCCTTACTGCATTTTTGCCCAGGTTGTCTTTTTCACCTAGGGCACTACTGCCTCCAAACATCTACTGATCATCATTCAGGGTTTCAGTTGAGGCACTTTATTATTTTGGTTTTTTACTTTTTTAGAAATGGGTTCTTTCTGTATTGTCCAGGTTGATCTTAAACCTGACCTCAAGTGATTCTCCCACTTCAGCCTCCTTGGTACTTGGTATCACGAGCGACAGCCAACACATTTGGCTTGAAACACTTTCTGTACTCCCAACCATGCTTCTCTTGCTCTCAACTCCATCCTTGCCCATGTGGACTGAGAATGTCTTGCACTGGGACTGTTTTCACTAGGCTCGGAGTACCTGGAAGACACATCCATAGGCAGGGTTCTTTCCAGGTCTCCAGAGCACAGAAAGGTGCTGGGAACAGAACTGGCATTGGAAATGTGTATGGAAGAGTTTGCTGAATGAAGACTGAATGGATGAATGATGTAGATGTTCTAGACAAAAGATAGACGACTTTTACCCCCAGGTCTCCCTTACGATTGCCTGGACTGGACTGGAGGGTAGGAATTAGGGAACAAAAGAGCAAATATTCAGGAAGTAAAGATGTTTGGAAAAAAATGCTAATTCAGAGAAAACAAGAAAGAAGTGAAGGTAAAATTCATTGATTGAACGTGTCTAGGTGCCATTATCTGCCTTCATATATTGTCACTAGTTCTCTTAGCAGGCTAGGACTCTCTGTCCCAAAAGCCTGAAAATTATCCTCTGCTAGCCAGGCTAGATACCAAGTTCTGCCTCTGGGCTCTACTCCTAGTACTACTAAGCAATAATGGAAGAATTGACAAAAACAACTTCCCCCTCGCCACCTGAGCAAACATTCAAGAAGTGAGGATGTTCGAAAAAAAGATATTTCTGGGAGAAAAGAGAGTGGAGGGGAAGTTCATTTGCTGAACATTTGCAAAGTGGCATTATCTGTCCTCACATACTGTCACCAATTCTCTCAGCAGCCCGGGTCTTTCGGTCCTAAAGGCCGGCAACCTTTCCCCTGACAGCCAGGCTGGGTATCAAGCCCTGCCTGTGGTCCTCTGCTTTTATACCCACTACGCAATAGTGGAAGAATCAACAAAACAACTCCTCCACCCCTCCTCACTTGGGGAGCAGAACAAATGATGGGCTCAGGAACAGGCCAGAAGAACCTGCACTCACCATTCAATCTCTTTAGGATCGCGGTCCTTCAGAAGCTCTTGCACCTCCTGTCGGCAGCGCTCCTGGTATTCTGGGTGCCTCGCAAGGTTGTACAGGACCCAGGAGAGACCACTGGCCGTGGTGTCATGGCCTGAGGAGCAGCCAGGTAAGCTTGACTTCAGCACCAGAGGGTGGACAGCGCCCAGATATTGAGGCCCTCAGGAGGATGGAGGGAGGGGGAAGATGGGCAGAATGGAGTGATCCAGGGTCCACCCACCCGGATCCAGAGATGGAGGGACCTCTGTCCCCACTGTAGTTCCACACTGGGACTCTCACCTGCAAACATGAAGGTGTCAGCTTCTGCTCTTATATCCTCATCTGACAACACCTTCCCATCTTCATCCTGAAGAGAAAGCAAGATACACACACACACACAAATTATACTATCTCTGAGACTTCCAAGTCCAACCTGAGATAATCTCTGAAGCTCTGATCTTCTTCTAGAAACTCAAATCCACTCTGCACGTCTAGATCTCTCTTGTTCACCGTCACCAGAGCCCCAACTCCAAGGGCTTCCCCCAGCTCCTTTGCCTCCTCTTTGGACCCTGGTGGCAGGAATCAATGGCTCTCGCATGTTTTCTTTTTCTGCATAATACAGACTTTCAGAGAAAAAGATACCGGCAACCTGGGGTACAGGATATTTGAATGGCAATTTTCCTTGGAGGTTAGAAATTTCGTATTGCTCCAAAAATATTTGCTCACATTCTAGAGTGGTAAACTCAGAGAGTCGTATCTTTCCAGAAGATATTTGGGTTATAAAACTATAGAAATTGCCATCTCACAGTAGAGGAGTAGTTTATACTCCAGAACAAAGCATTCTGTCTCTCTCTCTCTCTCTCTCTCTCTCTCTCACCGTCTCTGTCTCAACTTTCACCCTGTAAGAAAGAAGGAGTATATGAGCTAGCTGTCCTATATAAGATATAAGACTCATCATGGGGGGGCCCCTCTCCTATGGTGCAAATTCTTGTGCATTTACAGGTAAAAACATTGTGTTACCCTAGGAATGGAGAGCCAGCTCTACAATCCTACTCTGCCTGATGTTATTGCTGTAAATAGCTAATGGGCTGCTATGATCCAGGAGTTTGGTGCATCTGTCATCATAGATATAGACATAGACATAAACATATAGATATACATAAAAATGTGAAAGACTAACACAATAACTTGCAAGTTAAGTAAAATCTCAGGCTCTTCACAGTTTCAAAATTAACAGTGCCCCGTGAGCTGCATGCAATAAAATCATCTCTAAAACCTATCTGTGACCTTCCCTTTCTCAAGCATCTTCCATGGCTCCCAGTGCCCTTTGGATCAAGACCAATTTATTTCACCTGACATTTGACATCAAGCTCTATTCTCTCACTTAAATTCAGATCGTAGAGAAACCCACTTTGCTCAGCAGAAGTACATCAATGAAATCCAGAGTCTTGGACTTGGCTTTGTCCTTGAGGAAATCATCAATACCCTGAGTGGGGAGGGTGCGGCGCCGCTCCTGGATGACGGCATCTGTGAAGTCATGCACTAGGCGGCAGGCCCTGCGGAAGCGCCGCCCATCTTGGGTGAGGTAATACACAAAGTCCTTGTGCTGGAGGATATGCTGGCTTCTTTTCTCTACAAAGGCACTGAGCTCCAAGATGGTGGCAATATATTCACTGGGCCTCCTGCAGGCCGAGGGCAGAAAGGGAGGCAACAATGTAACATATGCAAAGCCCTAGGAACACCTCCCACCAGCATCCAGGAGCTACCTCCCATCAGGAAACTGAGTATCTAGAAACAGATGGTCCTAGAGATACATGGTGGGTATCAGTCATGAGATTGACTCTCCAGACCATCTTCTCTCCCTGCGTCTCATCTCTGAGAGAGTGTCTCCATGCACCTAGGCATCTAGAGTACAGCTTGGACACCATGTTTCTCTCCTCTGTCTCCCACCCAGTATCCAGTACTGATCATTTTCCTTACCAAAAATGTCCACACAGCTCAGACTTCATCCTCTTCCAATTCATCCCTGCTCCAGCTACCCTCCCCCCGCCTCAATAACCAACTCTCTCTCTTCTCTCTTTCTCCCTCTCTCTCTTTCACCATGTAAGAAAGAAGGAGCAGCCAGGCACAGTGGGTCACTCCTGTAATCTCAACACTTTCTGAGGCCAAAGAGGGCAGATCACCTGAGGTCAGGAATTCGAGATCAGCCTGGACAACATGGTGAACCCCCTCTCTACTAAAAATACAGAAATTACCTGGACGTGGTGGCCGGCTATCAGTTTCCCACACAGCTCAACTCTTACCACATTCATCATCAGCTGAAATTACAAAAGCTCTCCGGAAATCTCTTTATAAACTTCGTACCACTTTTCCTGATTTTCAGTTTTCAGTGTCCTTAATATCTAGCCCCTACTTCCACAACCTTGTTTCTACTGTCTCTTGCACATGCTTGGCTCATCCTAACCTTCTTGCTTTTACCCAAATATTCCTACCTACCTGTAAAGACAACACTTTCTTCTCTTCCTCAATCTTCAAAGCACAGCTGATACAAATCCTCCAGAAAGGTACTTCTGGTTACTTTGCTCATTCCTCCCTTCCCAACTTACTCCCTTTGGTCCGTGGATTCACATCCCAGGCCCTGGGAAGGAACTCACTCCTGACAATGGCTGTCAAAGCTGAAGATGCATTTCTGCAGACTGTCCAAGGTCATCAGGCTGATGTGCTCAAACATGTCCAGACGACTGCTGCCCTCTGAGGCCAGGTGCTGCCACTTGTCCTGGTCAGAGAAGGGAAGAGAGCTAGAGCTGGGTCCTGCCTCCTTTGTGCCCCTCCAAGCCCCAAGCATCCGGAGGGACTCCCCTTCAGTCAGCCACCTGGTCCTCTGCCCCAGGAACCCATTGCCAGCGAGAATCAGACTTGGATGGAAGCAGAAGGCGTTTGTATTAGGAGATGAAGACCCAAGACTTGGAGCCAAGAGACCAGCATTCAAGTCTCAGCTCTGTCTCCTGTGCTCTGTGTGCCCTTGGTCAACCTATTGCCCCCATCTAGGTCCCACCTGTCAAATATTCAATAAAGGTCAAGGTGATCTGCTTTGGGGCCAGATAAACCAGGATAGAATCTCTGCTCCACCACTCCTAGCTCACTTCCTGGCTGGTTGAACTGTGTCCAGCTCTCTAATCTCTCTGGCCCTCAGTTCATCATCTGCAATAGGACAAAAATAACCACAACCTAACAAGGTTATTAAAATTAAATTAGACAACTTATATCCTGGCACTGGGACATGACATTTTTTCAGGCATAGGATGAGTGCCCAGTAAATGTTTGCTTTATTCATAACCATTGCAATAAATTCATTTCAAAAATATCCCTGTGTTGGAAGAGGCACTTCTTCATCAGCCCTGAGCATCCTTGCTGGGTATGCCACCAATGCAAGACCGTGATGTTCTTACTTGAGCCATATCTCAGAGTTGTGTTTGCAGAAAACAACCTCGAGAGACAAGGCAGTGACTCCCCCTGCACCAGTATCAGGCTTGTATTTGCCACTATTAAAGCAGATTCCCTAAGCCTAATGTCCTTTGTCTGTCACACAATGCACTGCATGAGCAGACTACTATAGAGGCCCACCAGTGTCACCCCCGTGGAATTTAGGATGACTCAGAAAAAGGATACAAACCAACAAGAAGTACATGTCACTTACTGTGCCATGAGTAATCAACTACCTTTGTCTCTGACCCAGGAGTCTTGTGTCTTGTGTTAGAATCCATGAAACGGTAACAAGTCAACTTACTAGCTTGCATATTTAAAAAAGTCCCAGACACTTCACAAAATCCTGACCCCCAATTCTTCACTTCTCCCTGTATTCACACCCTTTGCACAGTAACTTTTCAGCAACTCCCATTAAGAGATGCATTCTAGTTTACACCCCTTTGAGTCTGTACTGGACTTTTGAGTTTCTTTGGCCAATACAGTGTGGTGAAATGATGACGTAGTAACTCTAATAGACCCAAACCTGGTTGAACTTTGAAGCATTGCAGAGACAATGTCCACAGACATTGCAGCCTCCTCTCAGTTTCTCGGAACACAGTCTCTGCTATGTGAGCAACAGGGTGCCTTCTGGAGGCAGAGAATCACATGGGGGAAGTTCAGGTGTCACAGCTGAGGCCATCCCAGATCAGTCTGAAGCTAGTGAAGCCCCAAACATGTGAATGAACTAAGCCAGGATCAGCAAAACTGCCCACCTGACCCACAGCTTCTCATGTGCCAAGAGTGATCCCTTCCACATCCAGAAGAACTGGCCAGCTGTCTCACAGACTCGTTAGAAATTGTAAACCCCTTTTGCTCTAAGCCAGTGAGTTCTGAGGTGGTTTGTACTCAGCAATGATTATTACGCAATCTTCCCTTTTACTCTCTTGAGTTTACAGGGATTCTGTGAGAAAAACACAGAAATTGACACCTTCTGAGAACCTACTATGTGCCAAGTAAACGACCTTGTAAGTAGGGGTTATCCTCCCCATTTTACAGATGAGGAAACCAAGGTTCAGAAAGGAAGAGCAATGGCCCAATGTCATCCAGAAGAGCCAAAATTCCAGACCAGATCTGTCCATTGTTCTTCCACCCCAAGACTCCAGCTGGGACCCAGAGTTCAAGGGACTCACAAGCATGATGGTCGCACTCTTGTTGAAGATCTTTATATAGGGCTTCAGGATGTTGAAATGGAAGGCGGGCGTCAGCATCCGACGGTGGTGGCTCCATTTGTCACCGCCACTCAGCAGTATCCCTTCTCCTAGTAGGGCAGCCAAGGACAGTGGGCAAGAGCAGCACCTTCCCCACCCCTGCCCAAGGTCATCCTCAACCCCTTTCACCTGCAGGTACTCACCCAGCCAGGGCTTCAGAAACCTGATGGAGAGATCATCCTTGGGTGCAATGGCAGCTGGCATGAATGAGGACCATCAGGGGCCATGTAGAGGGCAAGAGAGGAGCTTCAGGTGTAGGGCAAGGCTCCCTACCAGCACTTTCCCCACTCCATGCCCAGCATAGCGGGAAGGGGGCCAAAGGCAAAAGAAGAAGGGAGGATAGAGGAAGAAGGACCAGCCCAGGCTGCAACAGCACAGTTGCAAATGACACAACCTAACGGGGCATAGCACAGCCCAGCACGCCTTGACATGGCTCCTGTATGTCCCAACATGTTCTGCAACAACCGAGCACAGCTCCACACTCTACAAAATACCTTTAAAGGAGCCCAGGACACCCTGTCTGCCCCAGCACTCTCTGTCATCTCCTGACATGGACCTGAGATAGTCTGACATGACCTCTGTGTACCCCACAGACAAGCCCCAGATAGGGTTTAAATATGATTTCTTAAATGTCCCAGACATGTCCCAGGTGTATCCAAGGCTTTTCTTCAAGCATGATAGGAATGGATTTCGAAACCTGGCTCAGGAAGACTAAAATAATAACTGACAAATTCCAAAGAGACCCTAGCTCCCAGACCTTGGACAAGTTGCAAACATGGCGAAGAGATGACAAGGAGGAGAAAAGACAATTTCAAATCACATGTCAGAGAAGAGCCAGAAAGTCTCTGACATGCCCCAAGTGTCCTTGGCCAAAGCTGAGCCACACACATGATGACTTCTCCATACGATCCCAGGTTAAACAGAAAAGATATAACCAGGTATAATATTGAAACTATAGGCTATTTATGGAACCCCTGGGGGAAAGGTGAGCTTTCTGACAAGAACTAAGCTGCTGGGACCCATGGTTGACACCATAAGAGAAAGGCTGCCTTAAAAGAAAAATTGATGCAGAGAAATGGTGAAATTAAGGAAAGGAGACAGATTCCTGATGATGTTCATTGACACTTGGTTTCAGCCATGCCTGAAGACCACCGTCCTTGGACTTTACACTCCTTTGATTCTCTTTATTTGCTTAAAGCACACAAAGTTGAGTTTTCATCACTTACAACTGAAAGAGATCTCAGCAGCCAGAGAGCTGATGACCTGCACAGAGTCACTAAGGATCTTGGGGTCTGAGCCATAGTTTCTGTGGGATGCTGCCACTTCCCTTGCTCAGCCTGGTGTTTCCAAGGATGAGAAGAGCAGAGAGCAAGGGGAGATCAACCAGCTAGAGTGTGTTCTCCTATTGGAGAATCCTGAAGCCTGCAGGAGGAGGGCAGTGATCGTAGGGTGGATGAGTGACAGGATGAGGTAGAAGGAACAGACCCATCATAGGTGGACGTCACATAAATAACAGCCCAGATTCTCCGCCAGCCACAAGTCCTCCTACCACTCTGGGCTGAGGGATGGACAAGGCTGGTGCCAGGACTGGCTGGACCCCCAAATACCAATGATGCCCACTGCATCATCCTGCCACACACCTTAAAAAAATCCTACTTATTGGTCCAGACTCAGCTCCAACAACTCCTCCTCCAGGAAACATTCCAACCTGCCCCATCAGACACCCAGTTCTCTTGGATGTCACACCCATCTCTCTCTTGCCCATTCCTGATCCCATGAAGCTGGAAATGTCTCTGTCTAGACCCATCTCCTCAAGCATGGGATACCTTCAAGAAAGGGCCCTGAATTGAGGCGTCTTGGGCCCCAGTGGTGCCCCAAACACCAAGGCAGGGAGCAGATGGCAGGGGGAAGACGTTGAGATGGAAGTCTGAATGAGGGTCATGAATACTCAAGGAGGGGCCTGGGTACTGCAGGGACCACGCAGAGGCTTGGCCTTGCACCCACCACCACAAACTCTGCATGAGTACCTGAGGCATTGGTGATAGACCGAATGGTGTCAGGGTGGCATAAAAAGATGAAGGGGATGATGGGACCCATCCATATCATAAATCCCTGGGAATAGGTGGCCGATATCTGGGTCAAGTTCTTCAAGCCCTCCTCTGTAGGAGTGATCTGAAAGCAAGTCAGGGGGCCGTCAACTCCTGTGATGGTTAATTCTAGGTGTCCACTAGACTGGGCTAAGGGATGCCCAGATAGCCAGTCAAACATTATTGCTGTGTGTGTCTGTGAGGGTGTTTGAGAAGAGATTAGCATTTGAAGGTAAGCAGGATGGAAATAGTAGGTGCAGAGGAATGAGTGAGTGAGGAGAAGAATGAGTGAGTGAGGAGAGGAATGAGTGAGTGAGGAGAGGAGTCAGTGAAGAGAGGAATGAGTGAGTGAGCAGAGGAATCAGTGAGTGGGCAGGGGAATGAGTGAGTGAGGAGAGGAATGAGTGAGTAAGGAGAGGAACGAGTGAGTGGGTAGATGAATGAGTGAGTGAGGAGAGGAATGAGTGAGTGAGGAGAGGAATGAGTGAGTGGGTAGATGAAAGTGAGTGAGAAGAGGAATGAGTGTGTGGGTAGAGGAATGAGTGAGTGAGCAGAGGAATGAGTGAGTGAGGAGAGGAATGAGTGAGTGAGGAGAGGAATGACTGAGGAAAGAAATGAATGAGTGCGTGTTGAAATGAGTGAATGAGGAGAGGAATGAGTGAGTGGGTAGATGAACGAGTGAGTGAGGAGAGGAATGAGTGAGTGGGTAGAGGAATGAGTGAAAGGGGAGAAGAATGAGTGAGTGAGGAGAGGAATGAGTGAGTGGGTAGATGAAAGAGTGAGTGAGGAGAGGAATGAGTGTGTGGGTAGAGGAATGAGTGAGTGAGGTAGATGAAAGAGTGAGTGAGGAGAGGAATGAGTGTGTGGGTAGAGGAATGAGTGAGTGAGGAGAGGAATGAGTGAGTGGGTAGATGAAAGAGTGAGTGAGGAGAGGAATGAGTGTGTGGGTAGAGGAATGAGTGAGTGAGGAGAAGAATGAGTGAGTGAGGAGAGAAATGAGTGAGTGGGTAGAGGAATGAGTGAGTGAGGAGAGGAATGAGTGTGTGGGTAAAGGAGTGAGTGAATGGGCAGAGGAATGAGTGAGTGAGGAGAGGAATGAGTGAGTGGGTAGAGGAATGAGTGATTGAGGAGAGCAATGAGTGATTCAGAAGAATGAGTGAATGAGTAGAGGAATGAGTGAATGGGCAGACGAATGAGTGAGTGAGGAGATGATTGAGTGAGTGAGGAGAGGAATGAGTGAATGGGCAGAGGAATGAGTGAGTGAGGAGAGGAATGAGTGAGCAGAGAAATGATTGAGCCATCTCCCTTGCTTCTCTGGGGTCCCAGACCCCAGCCACGATCAATACCCAGCTCCCTGAACCCCTACTGGAAGTCCCACCCCTCTGAAAGTCCATCTACCCTAAGTCCCCATACCCCATCCAATCCATTGAGGGCATGAACAGGACAGAAAGGCAGAGGAAAGGAAGAACTTGCTCACTCTTCTGCAGCTGGGACATCCGTCTTCTCCTGCCCTCAGAACTCCAGATACTCAGGCCTTTCTGGACTCTGGCTGAATTTACACCACCAGCATCACTGGTTTCTGACTTGCAGATGGTATATCATGGGAATTCTTGGCCTCCATCATCACATTATCCAATTCCCATAATAAATTCTTATCTTATCTCTCTGTCTCTTTCTGTCTCCATACATACATGCACTAGAGGTAAGAAGAAACACCCTATCTGTTTCTAAGGAGATTCCGTTTCTAGGGAGAACCCTGAATAATGTACCTCCCTAGAAGGAGCCACAACAAGTCCCCCTGCAGCCACCGGACATGGTGCAGCGTCTGCAGTGAGCAGCGTGTCTGGATTCTGAACAGCTGCAGGGGATTTCTGCTGACCTCTGCTCCTTCTCTCTTGGGGCTGTCCCAGGATCCGAGGGTAAACACCAAAGCAGAGAGAGAAGACAAGCTGTCTGCTCAAAAGGATGTGTTTTCTCGTCCTGGAAATGATTTCAGTCTGGGGATTGCTATATGGGAAGGTCCCCATGGGAGGAGGTTTGTGGGCAGCAGTGTGGCCTCAGGACATATCCCTAGGGCTGGTTCCCACATCTTTTTGTGTCCTGACTGGTCCACATGGGCACTGGTTTCTCCCACAGATGAAAGGTCTGCGCGCTGAGGGACCTCCGTTCTCAGCAACCCCCAGGAGAGCAGAGGTGTCTCTAAGGTCCATCATGATGGCAGGTACCACCTGGGAGAGCCTCCCTTACACCAGGCTCTGTGCTAGTGCCTCCTGTGGACATGTGGACACGCCTATCAATCCTGCTATTTGTAAGTGAGCAGATAGAGGCCACATTCCCCAAAGGGGAGGGCAGTTCCAAGTCGGAGGGCAAGGTTTGGGAGTATCAAGGACGGCTTCTGAAAGGGGAAGGGAGTGGGAAAATCATATCCAGGTTGTGCTACACGGCTCATTTGGACATCTTAGTGGGGAAGAGCACATTGTCTGTGGAAGGGGATGGGGTGGGAGACTGCCTGCGCTTCTCTTCTGGTCCTGCTGTGTCCTTCCATGGAGAAGGAAGTCAGAGGTAATTCCTGTGGGAAAGCAGCAGCCCAGAGATGGGCAGATACAAGCAAATAGGCCAGTCAGGGAGCAGCCTCTGTATAATGGGTTCAGGAGGCCTCAAGTCCAGCAGAGGAGAAGGTGGGAATGCCAGGAGAGCCCTGCTCTGTGCACCCCACACCCATGCAGGAGCCTCTGTGAGGTGCAGTAGTGTAGGGAAGACAGGCAGGAAAAGCATCCAAGCAGGCTGAGGTGGAAGGACAGGGAGGTGAGAAAGGATTGGGATGGAACTGCAGAGGAATGAATGAAAGAGGAGAGGAATGAGTCCGTGGGTAGAGGAATCAGTGATTGAGGAGAAGAATGAGTGAGTGGGTAGAGGAATGAGTGAGCGAGGAGAGGAATGAGTGAGTGAGGAGAGGAATGAGTGAGTGAGGAGAGGAATGAGTGAGTGAGGAGAATAATGAGTGAGTGAGGAGAGGAGTGAGTGAGTGAGGAGAGGACTGAGTGAGTGAGGAGAGGAATGAGTGAGTGAGGAGAGGAATGAGCGAGTGAGGAGAGGAGTGAGGAGAGAAATGAGCGAGTGAAGAGAGGAATGAGCGAGTGAGGAGAGGAATGACTGAGTAGGTAGAGGGATGAGTGAGTGGGTAGAGGGATGAGTGAGTGGGTAGAGGGATGAGTGAGTGGGTAGAGGGATGAGTGAGTGGGTAGAGGGATGAGTGAGTCAGGAGAGGAATGAGTGAGTGGGCAGAGGAATGAGTGAACCATTGCCCTTGCTTCTCTGGGGTCCCACGCCCCAGACACCATCAATACCAACCTCCCTGAGCGCCATTCCTGCTCTTCTGGAAATCTGTCCACCCTGAGACCCCAGACACATTTTGCTGTCACACTCACCAGGCCCAGGTGGCCCCAAAACCAGTGCCGTTTTGGGGGCTGCGGGAAACACTGAAGCCGGCGGCACTTGTCATAGAAGGCGTAGGTCCAGGCCAGGATACGGGCGAGGAGCCAGGAGCCCACAACCAGCATCAACAGCAGCCCTGGGGACGTTGCCACCGGTCCCAGGCCCAGCCAGGGCAGGCTCAGCAGTGACATCCTGCAGGGCAGACGGGATGGAAGGTGAGGTCCTGAGGCCCAGAGAAGAGCTCCAGGGACAGTGGAGAAGGGCAGGATCAGGAACTACTGGGGGCAGGGCAGGGAGGGCTCAGAGGTGGGTAAACAAGGGCTGAGATCTAAAGTCCAGAAAGGCCCAACCAAAACCAACGACCAAGTGGCCTCCAGTGATCTGGTAACCACACGGAAAGGGAAAGAGATGGGCTGATTAGAGTACGGAAGGGCCCAGCCTGAATCCTTGGGAATTTGCTAGGAGTTCAGTTACCAGGAAACCACCAGTTTCCCATGCCAGCAGCTTGTAGCCACCCCAGCCTTGGGCAGTCCCCTCCCCGTTCCAGGCCAGGACCCTCCAGCCCGGCCACCCCCAGCCTGGCACCTTTTGTCGGGAACAGCCTGTCCCACAGAAACTCTCTCCGCTTCTGCTGGGAGGTCTTTGGCCCTGGTCTCTGACCTAGGGAAGGCCTTAGGAGGCTGGGCTGGGCTGGGATGAGCTGAGGCAGCCAATCCCCACAGTCTGGGTGTGTCTTCCATGCCTGGGCAGCCAGCCAAGACCTCGGGTTGGCCCGCAGGTGGGTGCAGCTTAGGGTGCCCCGCCATGAGCACTGAATTCTCAGGTCTCAGTCACCTTCTTGGGCACAGTCCTGGGCAGGGGAAGCTTTGGGCCGGTGGTTAATCGTGTATAACAGGGGAAAATCCCTGAGCACACAAGTTTACCTCCAGCCGACTGCCCTTCCATAAGACAACGGCATTCAGATAAAAGCATATACTATATCCTGTGAAGAGTTCGTAGGGCCCACCTGAGCTGAGCCAGGCCAACCCCGTTGTCCCCAGATTCATCTGGGCGCCTCTCAAACATGGCGGGAGTATGTCAGCCACCAACTAATCTGGTGGCAGACCTTGAGGAGATTGCAGTAGACATGAAGCCCCTGGCAAGAGTTCAAGTTCTGGCCCCTCCCAGGGCCAGCCAAAGGCCTGAGCTGAGACCTGACTGCTGGAAGCAGGAAGAAAGAATGCAGCCCCAACCCCACTGAGGATTACCAGCGTCGGATTCTGGGGATAAAGAGTCCCGCTGGAGGAGAAAACCTACAGGCCTACAGGCTGGGCTCAGCTTAGGAGGACAGAGTGGAGGCATAGGGGATGAGGCTGAGAGTGGCTGTGAGTGGACGGGGTCCAGGCAGGGGAGGGCAGAGCGAGGGGACCCTGAGTGGAGTCCTTGTTCTGCCCTGTCCTTTCTCTGACTGTGGGCAATGTGGCCCTCCTGGGCTCATGCTTCCCATCTGGGAAATGGGATGCCAGATGAGGCCTTAGAGGGTGACAGAGGAAGGCTCCTAAGAAGAAGGAGCTCCAAAAAGAGGGACCGAAGGGAAGGGGATGGCAACTAGCACTTCAGCTGCTGTGTGCCTATCTCTACTCTGTGCAAAAGACTGTATGGAAGGTACTACTGTGTGCACTTAGTGTGTGCCAGCCTCACTATATAAAGTGCACCTACTGTGTATCAGCTACTCTACATAAATTCTGTCTACTATGTGCCAGGTGTGCCACATAAAGTTCACCTACTGTGTGCAGCATGCTCTATATAATGCAAGCTTACTTTGTGCAGAGTACTTCGTATAAAGCGTGCTGACTCTGTGCCACGCGCCATATATGAAGCATACCTACTGTGTGTCAGGTGCTCCACATTGAACATGTGTACTATGTACCTGGTGACCTACCTAAAGTGTACCTACTCTGTGTCAAGTATGCTACATAAATCTTGTCTATTATGTGCTGGCTACTCCACATATAGTGCACCTACTGTGTGCCAGGTGCTCCACATAGAGTGTCTACTGTATGCTGGGCGTCCTTCACAAAACCTGTATCTTGAGTCCCTAACCCTTTATATAAACCATGCCTGCTGTGTGCCAAGTGCTTTAAATAAAGCACACCTACTGTGTGCTAGATGATCCACATAAAATGCTGCTCCTGTGTGTTAGATCCCCTACATAAAGTAAAAGTACTCTGTGCAACATATTTGACATAAAGCACACATACTGTGTGCCAGGTGCACTATATAAAGTGTGCCTTACTGTGTGCCAGATATGCTACATAAAGAGCACCTGCTGTGTGCCAAGTATGCCACATAAAGTGTACCTACTATGTTCTAGGTGCGCCACATAAAGTACACCTACTGTGTTAGGTGCTCTACATAACGTGCACCCGACTGTATCAGATGCTTACCTGCATCACAGTGCCCAAAGCTGTCCCACCACCCTCCCATCGGCTCTCTAGACCAGAACCCTGGGCATTGATGGAGAGACCTGAGTGATGGCACCCAGTGGAGGGAAGGTGTCCATTGAACGTAAAAACAAATTGAGGCTCGGAGAGGGCAGTCCTCTAGTCCAAGTTGCAGAGCTCACAGGAATTCAGGTCTATGAGACCCTCAAGTCTAAATCCATCCTCTCTGCCATGCTGCACCGTCCCCATTCATTAGCGTCAATGCCATGTTAATATAGGGACATTTATAATGGAGGAATCTCAGGCAATGTGGAGGCCCCAAAGGAGAAATATCTTGAGGCCCTTGAATCAGTACCTGGTTCCTTCTCCCACACATAGGATCCTCCGCCCAACAGATCCAGGGCTCCCCTCCTGGCCCTCCCTAGATCTGTCCAGAATTTCCCTGTGGGGTGGAGTTAGGTGAGGGGGGGCTTGAAGGAGGGGGCTCCTAGCAGAGCTGCTGAGCAGGAGGGTGGGGAAGCCAGTACTCCTGACACTGGTTGGGTGTTGGGGAGCACGTAGACCACCCCCACCCTATTACCCCTGCCAACTCAAACAGCCAGGGGATTCAGGCACCTGGCCCTACAGCCTCAGTCTCATAGGGTGCATCCCCCAGAATCCCCACTCCTTCTCAAGGACAGACCTCACCTGCTGGCGGTTCCATCCCTGTTACTCAGGGAGCAAAGCCAGAGGTTGATGAACAGCCAGAGTCCTAGGGACAGAGAAGAAAGTGCCCCCAGTAGCTAGAGGGGCTCAGCTCACTGTGGACCTCCTGTGTGCCTGGGAGGGGTAGGCAACCTAGAGCAGGAATGGTAGCCATCGACATTGCCAACATGAGTCATGGAGCCTGTTTTAAGTCTTTTAAGTATATTAACCATTTTGTTTTTCCATTTCACAAATGAGAAATCAAGTCTGGAAAATAAGTGACTACTCACAGTCACACAGCTGATGGATCTGGGCTGTGCACCAGACCACCCACCCAGCCTCACATTGTACCCCCCTCACCACCAGGCTGTGCTCCTTCACGTTTGTAAATGGATGTTTCAGTAGCACCATCCCACAAAGTTGTCATAATAACTAAAACAGACAATGATGCATGCAAAATAACGTTTCGGGATAAAAAGAAGGGAGTGAAGGGGAAGTTCATTTACTAAATATGTGTTAAGTGGCATCATCTCCCCTCATTCATTGTCACCAATTCTCTCAGTGGAGCAGATATTTTCTGTACAAACAGCCTGCAATTTTTCCCCTAATAGCCAGACTGGGTATTGAGCCCTGCCTGTCGTCCTCTGCTCCTATTCCCACAAAACAATAGTGACAGAGTAGACAAAAACAACTGTTCCTCCCCTCCCCACCTGGGGAGCAGAGTCATCGACACTGCCAACATGAGTCATGGAGCTCAGGAACAACCACCAGCACCTGTACTCACCATTCAATCTCTTTAGGCTTACGGTCCTTCACAAACTCTTGCACCTCCTGCCAGCAGCGCTCCTGGTATTCTGGGTGCCTTGCAAGGCTGTACAGGACCCAGGAGAGACCACCCGCCATGATGTCATGGCCTGAGGGGCGACCAGGCAGTCTTGGGTTTCTGGGCTGCTTCAGCATCAGAGGATGGACAGCACCCGTGCATTGAGAGCCTGGGGGAGGATGGGGGAAGGGAAATGGGAAAGGTGAAGCGATCCAGGGTCCACCCACAACATCCCTGGGGTGACAGATCCTGACCCTCACTGTAATCCTACACTGGGACCCTCATCCTCAAACATGAAATTGTCAGCTTCAGCTCTTATGTCCTCATCAGACAACTCCTTCCCATCTTCATCCTGGAGAGAAGGCAAGACACCCTTGAAAATCACACCAGCTCTGAGGACTCCTCAGTCTAACATGAAATAATCCCTGAAGATCATCCTCCTTCCAGAAAGTCAAGCCCAGCTTGCACTCCTAGATATCTCTTGGTCACTATTTAGGATTGCCTTTTCTAGTTCTGTGAAAAATAATGGTATTTTGATAAACATTGCATTGAATCTGTAGATTGCTTTGGATAGTATGGTCATTTTCACAAATTGATTCTTCCAACTCATGAACATGGCATGTGTTTCCATTTGTTTGTGTCATCTATGATTTCTTACAGCAGTGTTTTGTAGTTCTCCTTGTAGAGATTTTTCACCTCTTTGGTCAGGTATATTTCTAGGCATTTTATTTTTTGCAGCTATTACAAAAGGGATTAAGTTCTTGATATGATTCTCAGCTTGGTTGTTGCTGGTGGATAGCAGCACTGCTGATTTGTGTACATTGATGTTGTAACCTCAGTGAGGTTACAACATCAATGTAGTGAGATTTTTAAAATCTCATTTAGTGAGATTTTACTAAAATCATTTAACAAATCTAGGAGTCTTTTGGTGGAGTCTTTAGGGTTTTCTAGATATATGATCATATCATCAGTAAACAGTGATGCTTTGACCTCCTCTTTTCTAATTTGGATGACTTTTATTTCTTTCTCTTCCCTGATTGCTGTCGTTGGGATTTCCAGCACTACATTGAATGGAAATGGTGAAAATAGGCATCCTTGTCTTGTTTCAGTTCTCAGGGGGAATGCTTTCCAGGTTTTCCCATTCCATTTGATGTTGGCTGTGGTTTTGCCTTGTAAGACTTTTATTATGTTAAGATATATTTATTCTATGCTTAGTTTGTTGAGACTTTTTTTTATCATAAAAGGATGCTGGATTTTATAGAATGCTTTTTCTGTGTCCATGAAGATGACCATATGATTTTTGCTTTTAATTCTGTTCATGTGATTAATCACAGTTATTGACTTGCATATGTTGAACCATCCCTGCATCCCTGGGATAAAACCCGCTTAACAATTGGGTATAATCCTTCTGATGTGCTGTTGGATTTGGTTAGCTAGTATTTTGTTGAGGATCTTTGCATCTATATTCATCAAGTGTATTGGTCTGTAGTTTTTGTATGTTGTTATGTCCTTTCCTGGTTTTGTTATCAGAGTGATACTGAATTCATAAACTGAGTCAGTTAGAGAATAGGCCCTCTTTCTCAATCTTTTGGACTACTTCCAGTAGGATTGGTACCAATTATTTTTGGAATGTCTGGTAGAATTTGACTGTGAATTGATCTGGCCCTGAACTTTTTGTTGTTGTTGTTGTTGCCAATTTATTTATTAC